TTCCCTTGAAACCTGGGGAGGTGGGAGGGTCGTCCTGTGGAAGTCAGTGCCAGGACAAGGCAGCCGTTGTCCCCCGCCCGGGAGCTGAAGTTCCAGGACACCGTAGGTACACGCACCACAGACACATTGCCCCAGTGCCGCTCCTGGCTGGCTGTGGCAGGGCGGAGGCCAGCCATCGTCCTGTGCTTGCTGGCCCGTCCACCCCCAGGCTGGTGTTGTCCTGTCGCAGACAAGGCTCACATACGGCCTGTGTCTCGAGGAGGGGGGCAGCCCTTTCTCCTCTGACTCAGCCGGACGCATCCCTGACGGGGTCAGAAAAGCCTCTTCACGCGGCTTTCTCTCTGCTTCCAGAGCACGGATGTCCTGGTCTGTGCTTGATTTGGTTTTGTTTTTTTTAATGACTTAAAGTTCTCACTGGAGAGACTTCTGTACATTAGCAGTGTTGTTGTTGTTGTTAAGTGCCGTTGAGTCGTAGACAACTCATAGTAACCCTATGAACGAAAGACCTGAGCACTGTTCATAGAGTTTCTGGAGGTAAGCTATTTCAGAAGTGGATGCCACTCCTTCTTCCAAGCTTGTGTTAATCGGGGAGTTCCACCAAGCACTGTCCACCATGGGTGACCATTATCACATTTGACACGTCAGTGTCACAGTGTTCAGCCAACCACGAGTTACTTCTGTACAGCAAATGGACAGACCAGTGCTGTACCACTTAGAAGAATGTTTGACAAAAACAGTTAAAAGCAGGCCTGAGGGTCGCAGATTAAAATCACCCACCTTGGGCTTGGTAGCATCACTTTCTGTCCACTAGGCCGACTGAGCTCTCTCTATGTTGTTGTTGTTGTTAGTGGTAGATGAGCGACCCTATGAACGAAAGACCTGAGCGTTGTTCATAGAGGCCCTGGAGGCAAGCCGTCTCGGAAGTGGCTGTCACTCCCTTAGCAGTGTTAGGGACTTCGTTATTTTGGAGCCCTTTTCGTGTGTTACACGTGTGAGGGAGCGTATAGACTTGCTCTCCTTCTGCGTTTTGTTTGGACGTTTGTCTGTGAGGCGTGGAGGTCTCGGGTGAGCGTCTCCGTTGCACTCCCTACCGTATTTCCTTGCAGGCCTGCACCGTGACTGACATACCCGTTCTGCTCTCAGGCCTCGTGGATTCCGTCTGGGGCTCCTTGGGAATGGCGCTGCTGGGAGTGGTCTGGTCTTCCGGAACCCACCGCTGTTTCCTGTGGTGCACACCTTCCTCTCTCATTGCTGTCGAGTCAGAACCGATACACAGCTGACCCCCCAGAGGGCTTTCCGAGGCTGTAAATCGCATGGGAGGAGGACGCCCGCCTTTCTCCTGAGGAGCAGCCAGTGGATTTGAACCTTGGGGCTTTGGGTTGTCAGCAGAGCCCTGTTGCTAGGTCACAGGACCGACGTGCCTGGCGGGCATACATACAGCCAGTTTCCCTGTGTGGGTGCGCTGTTGGGACACCTGCCGTCAGTGCAGGGCAGTCCACTGGCTTCACGTCCTCCCTGGCCCTGGCTGTTTGGTGCCTCAGAGCTTCCCGTTCCTCTGGCTGCAGGATGTAGGAGGCTGTGGTCTTCTCGTTGCCCTGGGAAGCCATGGCCTTGGGAACCTCATTGCACCTGTTTGGCCCTCTGGACATCCTCTTCTGAGAAGCTGGTGGCCATCGTACGGCGAAGCTGGTGGCCATCGTATGGCCTGGCTTCTCCTTACAGATTCGCGGTGCTGCTTTGATTGCCAGACGCCGTGAACCGTTTGTTGAACACGTGCAGCCGTGTGCAGGAGCCTGGTCCCTCACTCCCCAACTCTGATTCTTGGGGTCACTCGAATTCTGCAGAGGTGGGAGCCTCCTCCCTGGAGACCAGCAGCGGCTGCAGGCCAGACGTGTCCACCCCTCCGAGGGCCAGCTCCCCCTCGCATCCTGAGACACGGCTGTCACTCTAGCCTTCTCTGGTCTGCACATCACCTCATGCTTTCTTGGTGATGAAGGTTTTTTTTAGTGTTGACACAGTTCCACTCTGTCCCAGGTTTCCTTTATAATTAGAGCCTTCTCTCTGTGTGTCCTGCGGAGGAAATCTTTGCCGCCACCTTTAGGTTTATTGGATGGAGTAGATAATCATTATCGGCTTGGAAATAGTCTACCTGGCTCGACCTGCCCTCTGCTGATGCAGTACACGTGTACACAGTTGTACAGGTTGTGAAATCCAGCCTGGGGTCCACTAGGTAAGCTGTAGCTGGCCGAGGGCTACATCTCACCAACGGACGGGGCTCCTTTGTGTAATAGACACAGGATCACTGAAAGGCTGGGCTCCGATGCCTGTCCTGCCCTGTCCTCACGGTTGTCCCTGCCTGCCCCTCGGCCTCCCCTCTCGCTGTGGTCCTGGCTTTCCACACGTGTCCATCTCACACCTGCCCGTCACAGCCCATCTCAGACGCCGCTGTTAGGCCTCTCTTCCTTTTCTCAGCTTGTGTTTGCCTCTTTGTTTTCCCCGCTAATCACCCTGGACACAGAGGCCTGAGTGTCCGAAGCAGCACTTTGCCGTCCAGTCAGGACAGACTCATGGCTGACCCTCTGGTTAGCTTTCAGAGGCTATATTTACACGTAAGGAGATTGCCTGTCTATCCAGCAGTGGGTGGGTTAGAACCGTCGGCCTAGGGTTTGGCAGCACCTTTTCTGACCCACTAGGCCACCAGAGCTCTTGGTGGAGCACGCAGAAGGCAGGCAGTACATGGGGACCTGGAGCGACCTGTTGAATCATGGCTATTTCCAGCTCTGCTCGGGGGGCCATGGCTGCCTGTTCCCCGGCACGGAGGAGCCCCCACTTCTGTGTCTCTCCCCTTTGCCCCAGACCCTCTGCTTTGGGGCGCTTAGCTCTGCAGCCCGTGTCCGTGTCAGCACTTTTCTCTGCAGAGGCTCAGAGTGTTTCATCAGTAATCAGCTCATGCAGACGGCACATAGATCAAGCCTGCTCCCGGCCTGTGGACACTAATGTTCCCTCATTAAGGAGAAGGGACTCTTCTGGTCCCATCCTTCTCATGCCTTCTAATTACTGAAAAGTATGGCCTGGTGCGGCTTCGTGCACTCTGTAACCTACCTGTCCACCTGCCTGGCCATCCATTACTTTTTGGAGGTTCAGTTCTGTTTTGGATTTGGCCAAATTAATTGCCTTATGAAGCCAAGCACCTTGTGAGTAGACCGAGGACTGGGGAGTTCCATATCCCCGGACGGAAGTGGCCACCATGCATCTGTGTGTGATTTTCTTGGCCAGTTAATAGTTTGTGAAGTGTTTGTGTTCATGGGCTCTTGAGACGAGGGGATATTATTCATGCAAAGCGTCGGAAGAGACTATGTCCTGTCCACATCTGAGATGCTGCTGCTTGGATATCCTCTGCCTAAAAGATAAACAGGGTGGCCTTAGAGGTAAGGGACAGGACAGGACAGAAAGAGAAACAGGGTGGCCTTAGAGGTAAGGGACAGGACAGGACAGAAAGAGAAA